CCCCCTGCTCAATGCAGGAATACAATCAAAGCACAGCTGCCAGGTGATTATCTAAGTTTTTTCTTGGATGCCTCTAGTGCTGGAGCACTCACCAAATCCTGGGGTAACTGGCTCCACTGTCATACTGCTCTAACATTTAGGAAGTTTTTCCTGATATTCAGCCTAAATCTGCCTTCTTATAACTTGAGCCCATTGTTGTTATGTCCTGCACTCAGGGAGGATCAAGAAGAGATCCACAGGGGAGGGGGGATTATTTGGGGGCAGGAACTATATTTCCTAGCATACCCGGCTACCATGCTGGCAAGAATACTCTGAGACCTCTAGTCCCCGGCAACAATTTTTGTGAGCTCTTGTCTTTAGCAGAGCCGGCCTCTATAGGAAGAGGCAAAGATAGGTCACAGAATCCTGATTCAACCCGAAGAGCATCTTCAGGTCATGGACAGGAAAGGTCAGCTGGGCTACCAGAGTCTAGTCAGATTTATCTGTAGTATCACACTAATCATTTCAGAAGAATGGATGCTTTTGAATTGTGGTGCTGGGGGAGACTCTTCAGACTTTTGAACGAAATTCAAAAAATTCCTTTTTTGGATGGTCGATCCCAGAATGGCGTAGTCCGCATGGCTGGGGAATTTCCGCCACTGGTTTTAATCGCTGAAATCTTATTTTACTTATTTGTTTGGGGGCAGAAATAGGGAGGCAGATACAGTGGTGCCTCGTTTAGCGATGTTAATTGGTGCAGCAAAAATCGCCGCTAACCGAAAACATTGCTAAGCGATTTGTAAAAGCACATAGGAATGCATTGACACCCATTCAATGTGTTCCTATGGGCAAAAAAACTCACCTTTAAGCGAAAATCCTCCATACGGCAGCCATTTTCGCTGCTGGGTATGCGAGGAATCCGTCCCAAAACACAGTGGGCGGCCATGTTTTTTTTCCGGTGGCCATTTTGGAACCGCCGATCAGCTGTAGGAAAAAGATCACTATGCGATAATCGGTAAGTGAAATAGCTTACCTATCATCGCAAAGCGCTTTTTTCCTATTTAAAACATCGCAATGCGATCGCTAAGCGTTTCGTCGTTAAACGGGGCACTTGTTAAGCGAGGCACCACTGTATAGGGGGAGTGTCAATTACTTCTAAAGATACTGACCTCCACCAGGAAGGCAAATATGGTGGTGGAGGGTGGATTTTCCTTACTCTCCGGAAGCTGTGTATGCGAAACAGCCATTTCTTTCCACGCCTGAGAAGGGCAGACGTTACAATCTCGGTGCTGTGATATCTTTCCCGTCTCCTTCCTTGTGGGAGACCTCTTTTCGAACCGGCTTATAATTCCGCTTGCCATTCAGTGATGATTTTAACTTTTTGTAGACAGAGATAATGTTTATGGGTTTTATAGCTGGGGTTAGTCTTATTTGATTTTAATGATGCCACGGTGGAAATGGCTTTGCACGGCTGCTCTTATTATGATTTATGATGATTGTAAGTCGCCTCAAGCTCTACTTAGGGATGGGAAAGCACGGGAGAAACGGAATACATTTTTAGAGAAAACGCCCGTCCAAAAATAATAATATACAGACTGGAAATTTTCAAAGCAGCAGGCATGTTCATCTGTGTAAACAAACCATTATCTTTTTCTCTATTACAGTACTTTTATATTCACGTGGTCATGGGGATATGTATAAACTGCAGTTTAACCACTTGTGGTGCAGGGGGCAATCTGCAGTACTGCAGTGAAGACTCCACTCATGACCTGAGTTCAATCCTGACAAGTTCAGGTAGCTGGCTCAAGGTTCACTCAGTCTTCCATCCTTCCAAGATTGATAAATTGAATACCCAGCTCACGGGGCACGAGGGGGGGGGGCAATGTATAGCCTACATAATAAACTGTCATCATAAACTGCCCGGAGAGAGATTTAAGCACTACGGGACTGTATATAAGCAGCACACTTTGCTCTATAAATATACCAGCATGATATATGCACTCCAGGAGGTATGGATGTTCATACTCAGATAAAATTGTGGTTTTTTTAAAAAACTGCTACAATATTTTGATGTGTTCCTCCCTCTCCCTCCCTTTTCTTACCCAGCATATAGATTGGATATTTAACCAATTTGTTTGCTTGTTACAGTCCCGGGTGCTTTTTCTGAGGTCCGAAAGGGTTGCCCTATTTAGGCATTGTTGTCGGCTTCGACCGGCAGCCAGAAACGGTCTTCCCCACCGTCAGAGGCTCTCTGCTCCCTGTTCCTTTTCTGGAGATGTTGGGAATTGAACTTGCTACCTTTCGGGAGCCCTTGCAGGGGGCTCAACCTCCCCCAAGCTAGGTTTTTATCACTGAGCTCTGGTTCCCTTCCCTGGCTTTCCAAAGATCCTGCGAAATTCCCATTGCCCAGCTTTTGTCCTGGCTCCGTTCCCTGGGGACTCTTCTCATCTGCATGCCAGCTTCCCTGGTCTCTCCTCTTTCCCTGTGCGCTGGCCTCAAACAGGACCACGTCAGCCTTCCTGTTGCTTTGCACTGGCTCCCGCTCTCTTCAAGCTCCTTTGAAGTGACTGGCCAGAATCCTATCGATGAGTTGCGTCTGCATAAGTTATATTGTGAAAGTTAACGGCTGCTCCTAAGCAAGATGCCAGTCACATGCCTGGCGACAGGTTGGTCATGACCCATGGCACACGGCCAAGAATACAACCAGCTTCTTATTAATTAGCCACAATTCACCATGGTATGACTTTCACAATTTCAGCCAACCCACCTGTAAGTTGCCATAGGATTCTAGCTTCCATTTCTTACTTTTACATGCTGGTCCCAAGGATGCTTAAAAAAAAAAACCTGCCTTCCTTGATGTCCTGTTGGGCTCCTTTCAGAGCTGCTTTCTCCCCCCAGCCTCTGAAATTGGTTCAGACAGGATACCTGCCATCTCTAGCATCTGTCTGTCTTCTGTGATCTCTCTCCCCCCGGATCTTTCGAACACAGAGCCACCAGGTATCTGCACGAGCCAGGCTTCCCACCTTTTGAAGCAGGGGTGCAAACCCTGTGGCTTTGAAAAGTGGCCTTGCTCCCTGAGGGATGTGGAAAAACTGTGGTTTAAAACACCTATATATGAATTATACCTTTGGTGTCACTCTTGAGCTATTGAAACTCTTCGGGTTTACCAAGGAAGAGCCTTTTAAGGGGATAATGGTTCTTTTCTTCTCTTCTAAATGCATATTTTCAATGAGTTTCAGCAAGATTTTAATCAGTGCTTTTTAATAATTACTGGCCAAAATCCTGTTACTTAGCGTAGTCAATTGCTCCAGAGTAGGCCTATTGAATCAATGGGGCATTGATGAGTTAACTCCTGCATTAAGTTCCATTGTCTCAAATGGATTTGCCCTAACTCCTGCTTAGTTCAGCACAGTACATTGCTGTTAGAGTAGACTCATTGGAATCAATTGAACTACAGAGGAGTTGACTCGCTAAGTCCCCATTGAGTCAATCGGCCTACCGTAGTGCAATTTGCTGTGCTAAGAAACAGGATCTGGGCCAAAATGTTCAACTGCTTTTTAATAATGTGTTTTTAATATTTGTAACAGCTCTAACATTTGCGTTTTTAAAGCCATTGTGATCTGCCTTGATTTTCTCTACAGGGAAAAAGTTAGGGTAGAAAATAGATCACTATTGAATACTTCTCCACTTTGTATAGATTCTTGCATAAAATATTATACATGCATTCATTTATTCAATGCATTTCCCCTTTCAAAATACGGATCCTGCCAATTTGGATTATAAAGTTGTGATAAACACTCAGGTAATGCAGTATCTAGACTCCAGCTCCTGAGACACAACAGGATCTAACCAAGACTCTTAGTCACCCTCCAGATATGTTGCACTACAAGCAACATCATCCTTGTTCACACTGACTGGGAGTAATGGAGCTTGTAGTTTTAAAATTTGGAAGACCCAGGACTCTTCAGACATGCTGTATGTGTGTTCTCGGAAAAAATACTCCTTCGGACTTCATTGGGCCATTCCAAAAAAAGAGGAACTAGTTCCCTCCCAAAAACCGCAGAGGTGCACCCCGTGTGCCCAGAAGGAAGTACATGTACTGTCCAGGTGGACAGAATTGCTGAAATCAGGAACTGGGAACCTATGCTGCTGCTGTAAATACACTTTGCTGCACGAAATGCTGCCGGACTGCGTGTCTTTATTACTGGCCTGCCTAGACCGCCATAAACTTTGCTGAAACTGCTGAAATACGTAATTCCGTGAGAAAAATCCTGACAGAAGGCAGCATTTGTGGCCCAGAAAACAGTTACCGTATTTTTCCGTGTATAAGATACCCCCATGTATAGGACACCCCCCCAATTGTCTAACCCAAAATTAAGAAATATAAGTGGGGCGTAGCAAATGTAGGGTAAAAAAGGATCAAAGTGCTGCAGAATGGCTTTGATCCCTGCTTTCGCCCTTTGTGCTAAGCCCCGTGTGGCTTAGAAAAAGGAGAGGAAAAGGGATCAAAGCAATTCCAGGACTACACAATCATTTTGATCTCTTTCCCCCATGGGATTGTTTTGATCCTTCCCCCCCTCCTTTTGCTAAGCCCCATGGGAAAGCAGTATAAGACTATACTTTTGTCTAAAATCTTTAAACTAAAAATTGAGGGTCATCTTACACATGGAAGTAAGCTGAGGAGAAAAAAAAGCAAATGGAGGGGGAAGCAGGGATCAAAACAATCCTGCAGCACTTTGATCCCTGCTTTCCTTTTGCTAAGGCTTAGCAAGGGAAAGGGAAAGCAGGGATCAAAGCCCTGCAGAATCACTTTGATCCCTGCTTTCCCCTCCATTTGCTTTTTTCTCCTCAGCTTACTTCCATGTATAAGACGACCTTCAATTTTTAGTCTAAAGATTTTAGACAAAAGTATAGTCTTATACATGGAAAAATACGGTAACATCCTTTTCCAGCCAACTAAAGTGTGCCAATGCTGGGGTGAGTCTGGCTTGAATTGATCAGCCTTCCCCCATCCTGCGCCCTCTCAGAGGTTCTGCACTACAGACACCATTGTCCCTATTCACACTGACTGGGGATGATGGATGTTGTAGTTCAAAATATTTAGAGGAGCTGGTTGGGGAACACTTACTTTTTTTAAAAAAAAAATATTATGTATTAGCTGTGTTTATGGTTCCTATTTCTTCCAAGGTGCTTAAAGCCCTCCTTGGAGGAAAACCTTTAGCTACCCCTGGCTCTCTTTCTCATCATTTCTTGGCAATGGCACATAGAAATTTTGTATCTACCCAATAAAAAGGAATAAAGTTGTGTGGATTCAAAGACTGAACTGATTTCTTCATGCCTGAAGCTTTGCACCTGTCCGATCTCTCTGTCTGTATCTATCATCTTTTTTGTCAATCTAATTTATATCCACCTTATTCCAAAGTAGCTCAAGGCTAGAATCCAGATTTCCTAAATCATAGGAACTAAACAGATAAGGAACGGGAGCTCCACAATTGGAAGCAGAACTGGCTTGAACAGTGAAATATGTGTGATTATCCTCCAATTATTATGTAGAGGCAGAGGAACTAGAAACTGTACCAAATTGCTAACATGTGCTGGATCATGGAGAAAGACAGAGAGTTCCAGAAAAACATCTACTTCTGCTTCATTGACTATGCAAAAGCCTTTGATTGTGTGGACCACAGCAAACCATGGCAAGTCCTTAAAGAAATGGGAATGCCTGACCACCTTATCTACCTCCTGAGAAACCTATACTTGGGACAGGAAACAACAGTTAGAACTGGATATGGAACAACTGATTGGTTCGAAATTGGGAAAGGACTAAGACAAGGCTGTATATCGTCCCCTGGCTTATTTAACTTATACGCAGAATACATCATGCGAAAGCCTGGATTGGATGAATCCCAAGCGGGAATTAAGATTGCTGGAAGAAATATCAACAACCTCCGATATGCAGATGATACCACTTTGATGGCAGAAAGTGAGGAGGAACTAAAGAACCTTGTAATGAGGGTGAAAGAGGAGAGTGCAAAAAATGGTCTGAAACTAAGATCATGGCCACTGGTCCCATCGCCTCCTGGGAAATAGAAGGGGAAGATATGGAGGCAGTGACAGATTTTACTTTCTTGGGCTCCATGATCACCGCAGATGGAGACAGCAGCCACAAAATTAAAAGGCTCCTGCTTCTTGGGAGGAAAGCAATGACAAACCTAGACAGCAGCTTGAAGAGCAGAGACATCACCTTGCTAACAAAAGTCTGACTAGTCAAAGCTATGGTTTGTCCAGTAGTGATATATGGAAGCGAGAGCTGGACCATCAAGAAGGCTGACCACCGAAGAATTGATGCTTTTGAATTGTGGTGCTGGAGGAGGCTCTTGAGAATCCCCTGGACTGCAAGGAGAGCAAACCTATCAATTCTGAAGGAAATCAACCCTGAGTGCTCACAGGAAGGACAGATCCTGAAGCTGAACCTCCAAGACTTTGGCGATCTCATGAGAAGAGAAGACTCCCTGGAAAAGACCCTCATCTTGGGAAAGTGTGAAGGCAAGAGGAGAAGGGGACGACAGAGGACGAGATGGACGGACAGCGTCATTGAAGCAACCAACATGAATTTGGTACCAAACTCCGGGAGGCAGTGGAAGACGGGAGGGCCTGGCGTGCTCTGGTCCATGGGGCCCCGAAGAGTCAGACATGACTTAACAACTAAAGAACAACAAAATAATCCAATGCCTTTCACAGCTTTGGAAATTTCAGCTGAGCTTGCTTTTGTGGTTAGGCTTGCTTGTTGGTTTTGCAAACCCAGCAGCTTTGAAGACGGCTCAGGAAGGATGAACCTCTTCCATGACCCTCCATCGCCACTCTAACTGCTACACCACATTGGTTCTTGTATCATAGATACCATTCTCCCTAAGATGCTTCTTCTACCAAAAAAAAGGAAAGAGGAAAGAAGGAAAAGGTAAAAGAAAAACAGGAAAAAAGACAACCCCAGGCTCTAATCTGTTCTTCCACAAGACCTTCATGGCCATGTGCCATCCAGTCAATCCTCACTTATGGCAATCCTTTTTTCTGGGTTTTCCTGGCAGAGAATACTCTGAAGTGCTTTACTCTTCATTTCCTCTAGGGGGCGTCATGGGACTGTGCCGCTGGCCCAAGGCCACCCAGGCTGGCTCTTCTCCCAGGAGGCCCCTTGGAAGGAATCAAAATGCCAACCCCTGGCTCTATAGCCAGAGTTCTAGACCCCTGAACGATCCAGCCAGCCTCTAGAACAATGGTGTCCAACCTTGGGTCCCCCAAATGTTCTTGGACTTCAACTCCCAGAAATCCTGGCCAGCAGAGGTGGTGGTGAAGGCTTCTGGGAGTTGAAGTCCAAGAACATCTGGAGGGCCAAGGTTGGACACCACTGCTCTAGGTTATACCTGAAAGCAATGCCTGCCCAGAAGACTTTCCCCAAGTTATGCAGGAGCAAATGTGCTTCTCACCCAAGGAAGCATCCGAGAGGCGGAGGCAGAGGCAAATGAGTCCGTGGATCCACCAGGCGGCCGACAGTGGGCTCATCCTGCAGCTCAAGTCCGAGAGGGAATCTCTGAGCGAGACTGGACCTTGTCCACAGAAGAAGCCGAGGGGGCCCAAGAGGCTTGGTTTTTAATGCTTCTTCTTTCACCTTTGGACCCTGTGGGGTGTGGGGTGGGAGGGGAAAGGAAACAATGGTGAAGACCCGTCTTCTTGTCTGTCCTGAAAGAATGAGTGATAACAGCATTCCAGACCATCATTTCATCACACCTTTTCAGATTGTGTCGGGGATGAGCGTCTGCCACCCTCCGCCCACCTCAGACCAGCAAATCTTTCTTCTCCAGGGTTCCCAGACACTCCCCCCCCCAACTACCTCACCCTCTGCTGGAAATCAAAGCCTCCAACCCTGTCAAGCAAATAATGCAATCACGTTGCAGCCTTTGTGGGGGGGGGGAAGTGGTCTTTCTGGAGGTTGACCCACTTACGGACAACCGCGATATCCTGATGGGTGCTGCTGAGGGGTCGTCTCGCCAATCTCTGCAAAGTTCTTGAACATCTTCTGCGCTGTGCCCACCAAAGTGAGGGGAGGTTGCCTTCAGAAAGCCGCAGAAAAGGGAAATGTCTCAGCTTCCTTCCTTAAAACTGGTCCGTTCTGGTCTGTCAGGGCTACAGACACCCCCCCCGGAAGTCATTCAAGATGCCGCTTCCTTCCCTGTTCCAAGTTGCGTTGTTTGCTTAAGCCTCAAAGGGCCGTTGCAAAAGGCTATCTTGACATGTCAGAACATCCCAAGGGAATGTTCGAAGAGGTGCAAGATGTGTCAGGGTTGCACCGCACAAGGTGGACGTAAATGAGTCCATGGGATGGTAGGGACCCTAGCTTGGCTCATGTGGAGGGAGACGCGGTCCCTGTCATCTCTGATCAGCTAGCAGATTGCGAGAGCAAGTTCAGAGTCGCTATTGGTCCACCTAGAGCCTGCTTGCCCATTCTCATCCAGCATAGTCAACATTCAACAAGACTCAACTGGATGGACACATGCTATTTATACTCAGGAAGTTCCCTTATATGGAGTCATACTCCCGGTCTATCTAGCCCTATATTGCCAGCTCTGACTGCCAGCAGCCTGTGGCGATCCCTCCCCTTTTGAGCCTCTGTGTATAAATATATGTTTCGTTATTGAGTGTGTATATGAAACACTTCTGGGTACCTGGGTTGTGGATGGTCGTGGGTGGAGTGCTGGGGTGACGGGCTGTTGAGTTGTTGGATGGTGATTTGTTAGTGTGATTGGAATAGTGGGGTCTGGTAAAAGATAAACTGAGATGTGACTGTTTAGGAGAAAGATCAGAAAGAGAGCAGAGCAGAGAGCTGAACTGAGTGAGTCTGAGAGTTTGCAGTAATCTGCGGAAGAGTTTATGAAGATTGCCTATAGTGGTTCGGGTGAGTGTGTCAGAATGCTAGAGAGTCTGTAGCTTAATTCTTTGGAAGTTTAAGTACTGAAGAAATACATTTAGCTAGAGAGTCTGTAGCTTAATTCTTTGGAACTGAAGAAGTACTGAAGAAATACATTTAGATTTCCCTGTTGTTTTAACCCTTATTGCTCATACTTGAGAACCGACTTTCCCCTTCATAGTTTTGAAATATATAATTGTGCAACACTCTGTGTTTGTGTGTATGGGAAAGAGCAGAATGTGTTATTTGCATTGCGAAGCCTTCTGACCGATCAGAGTGTGTCTGGCATAGATAGATAGATATACAGAGCAAGTGCTTAATTAGCAGTCTCTCTGATTGGGCTGATGAGAACAGGGCAGACAGGATTTGATAAGATACCGTCTGTCAGACAGGATGTTAAACACGGTAGATCTATTAGAGTAACTATGTCTATCAAGGTTAAGAATGATAGACAAGCATAACTACATCAAGGACACGTTTATGAAACAAGCACCAATATCTTTAAGGGAGTTTATTCTATTCTACATATGTTTTAAACAGTAAAACTTATTTAATGTTTTTAACAAAGATTACTTGATCCTTTTATTTACCTTCAAGTGCACGCACACACACAAGGAGAAAATACAATTTTTTACTTTTCGTGTGCATGTTGCTTTTTTTTAAATCATAGCCCTCGAACCTGCTGTGGGCAGACTCTTGTCAGTTACATTTTATGTTATCTTAAAACCAGAGCAACAAAAGGTTATGCTAGCCCAGGTCAACCCATATGTATTACCCTCGTTCGTTCGTTTAGTCGTGTCCGACTCTTCGTGACCCCCTGGACCAGGGCACGCCAGGCCCTCCCGTCTTCCACTGCCTCCCGGAGTCCGGTCAAATTCATGTTGGTCGCTTCAATGATCCTGTCCAACCATCTCATCCTCTGTCGTCCTCTTTCTCCTCTTGCCTTCACACTTTCCCAACATCAGGGTCTATTCCAGGGAGTCTTCTCTTCTCATGAGATGGCCAAAGGATTGGAGCCTCAGCTTCAGGATCTGTCCTTCCAGTGAGCACTCAGGGTTGATTTCCTTCAGGATGGATATGTTGGTTCTCTTTGCAGTCCAGGGGACTCTCAAGGATCCCCTAAATAAAAACCCTGTCTGATGGCTTAAACCAACCTCTCTCCTCCTTATTTGTTTCATGGATAAAGAATAAGGAATGCGGACAAATAACAATGAAAAACCCACCCACCCCATGTGAAGCTTTGCTAGCAGAAACACAGTGATTTATTGGCATGTAGAAATCATTTTCAGTGAACATCTGGATTATCTAGGAGACCTGCTTGTAGTGAAGGAGGCTCTGGGTGGGACAATCTAAAAGGAAGAACCCCAGGTTATGTAGAAGGAGGTTTTGGAGCTGGTGGTCCTTGCAGTTTCATGCTTTCCCTAAGTGGCCCTAAGAAACGATTCCTAGATTTCAGGCACTAAATGGTGTAAAAGGTGCTTGAGGGGCACCTGCAGCTGCTTGAGGAATGCGCGACCCAGGCAATGGGAAAATTAGGGGGAAGATCAGTGCCCCTTTAGACCAGAACATCATGCAGTGGTGGGCCTACATTTTGGGGGTGGGAGCGGCTGAGGTGTTACCAGGGCAGGAGAATCCTTCACAACCAGCAATGAGGTAACCACTGTTATTGTCTTCAACTGGGTTGTTCCAGGACAGATCACCATACAATTTCTAAAATGTGGACTAAAGTCGCTTCTGGGGCCCCTCCAGGATTAGGGACCCTGAAGCTGAAGCTTCATTAGTAGATCCTCCCAGGCCTCCAAGGTTTCAGCTGACAAGAATTTATTTGTTTCAGATATGCTGCGGGAGGATTGCTTCGTGGGTGCCCTGGACTGCCAGAAAGACAAACAAGTGGGTCCTAGAGCACGTCAAGCCCAAACGAATTCTCTAGAGTTAAAAATCCTGAAGCTCCTACTTTGGGCACAAGCTTGAGAAGACAGGATTCTCTGGAAAAGACCATCAGGCTGGGAAAGGTGGAAGGCTGCAGGAAAAGAGGAACACCCAACACAAGATGGACCGACTCCCTAACGGAAGCCACAAGCTGGAGTTTACGAGAACAGACCAGGAGAGTTGAGGACAGGACATTTTGGAGATGGCTCCTTCACAGGGTCGACCTGAGTCGGAGGCAACTTGACAGCGCATAAGAACAACAAATACTGCTTGGGACTGCATCTTTGAAAATCTGCTGGGTGGAGAATTCAGGGAGCTGTAGTCCCTGCTCCTCAAAAGATTACTTTCCCATCCTCTGACGCCTGGCCAACAGCTAAGTTCCCCTGTCCTTCCACCGAGAGGAATAAGATCGGTCCCCGTTAAGGAGAGGAGAGCATCTTTTGGCTGCTCCTTGCCCTTCCAGGCTGGAAGCTTTTTGCAAACCTAAACAAACACAAATAATGGCGTTGTGTTTCCTGCCATGAAGAAGGGCTGGAGAAGGGATGATCACAACCACCGCCCAGCCATCAGTGCACCAACATTTCTACTGAATAAACCTTTTCAAGTCTCTCTATGGTGATGCAAGATTTTTGTTCCCCTCCAGAGAGAGTCTGCTCACCCAAGCAATCCCACAGAGAAGAATCCTCTCAGTTGTCCTGTGGCATCTTAATTTTTTATTTATTTTATTTATTTATTTATTGCATTTATATGCCGCCCATCTAGACATAGTCTACTCTGGGCGGCTCACAACTTAGAAAATAAAAACAATTTAAATTATGCAGTTTTACATTAAAAACAAAATTATATAAAATGTAATATAAATTTACGATTTTAACAGTTAATTTAAAGCAAAGAGTCCCAAGATGGCAAGAATAAAAGAAGAAAAATAAGAATGACTTAATTGACTGAAGGGAAGGCCTGCTTGAATAGCCAAGTTTTCAGCTGGCTTTTGAAAATGCCCAGCGAGGGTGCCAGC